GGTTAGATTTTTCCCGTGGTTGAAAAAGAAAATCGGGTTTAAACTTGGTTTTGCTGTGTCAGTTTGGGGTGTATTTGGGGTTTCATTAGGTTTTGTTTGGGCAATATTCTTGTTTTTTTTTATTTTTTTGGGTTTCCCCAGAATCTGAGAGAGTGTTTTCCAGGTCTTTTTTATATCTCCCCTTTGTGTCTTGAATCTGCTGGAGTAGTATTTGGTTTTTTGGGTTTTTTATTACTTTTGGGGAGAAAATGATGAAAAGTGTTTTGAATATCTTTTTGTATTAAGCCCTGTCTATATTTGCTTTTCCCTATTTGGGGGTTTTCTTGTCAATGGATTTCAAAAATGGTGCTGGTTAGACCTGGAACCAAACCGTTTTTTTTGTGATCTGTTTCGTTTTTTTAGGATAAATAATTTTTTTTAAGAAAAATGTCTGTCCAGTAAACAAAACCCTTGGCCTTGGGAATTCTGTAGGCCCCGTCAACAATTTTCTAGGGGCATTTTTGAACTTCCCCTTTTTGATAAAGGGCCCCGTCTTTGGGGGCTAAATGAGACTTTGTTGTATTCAAGTGGGGGTTTATTTAAAGTTTTTTCAAGGGAGGAAGGTAGGGTTTGGGGGTCTTAGTGGGTATCTGTGATTATCCCCCATTTTTAAGGGGGGGGTAGTTATTGGCCCCTATGTGGGTTTTATTATGGGTTTCACTTGGGCCCCACTGAGCCTGGTTTTGGTTTTTTGTTATTGTGGGATGAGAAGGGGTGTTGTTCATATTTTTGAAAGAAAACATTACAGGCTGATCAAACTAGTAAGGGCCCGGTTTATGTTGAAGTCCCAGCTAAGAGAAAGGGGGTGCTTATTCATTTGTCTGTTTTTTTATTTTGTGACTTTAAAATTTTTCCCCTGGAAATTTTGGGGGTGTTTTTGGGGAGGTATCCGGGAAATGGGACCCATTGTTATAGGGTCTTAAAAAGGGTTTTTTTCAGTAAAAATTTGCAAAAATGTATTCCCCCTATTCATCACCAAAAAACAAGTGGTGCTAATTTCAAGATTTAAATTTGGTTTTGAAAATAATAGAATTTTCAATACCACCCCCAATTGGTTTTGGTCTGGCCCTTTTGAATTGCGTGTTTTCCCGGTAGACCCGGTAGAGGGTAGATATCTAAATTTTTTCCCTGGGGTTAACCAGGTTCGTAAGAATAATGCAGGAGGAAGGGTTTTCTTTAGTTATTCAAGGAGTTCCAGGAGGTCATCTAGTGTTTGCTTAAGGACCTAATGTTGTAGTTAAGTACTGATAGACTTTTAGCATTGTTTAGGATAGTGCTGGCTTGTGATGCTGTGTAGTAAAGGCAGTTACTTTCCAATAGGTTTTGATTGGGTGTCAGATTATGGAGGTTTAGATCAGGGTCAACGTGATCAATCATCTTCTAGGTTTAAATTATGGTTATTTATATCCTGAGTTATGTGTTGAGTTCTAGTACTGATATCTGTACTGGTGGGAAGCTTGGATAAGTATATAGCTAGAGTATTTTGGTCATATAGAGTATAGTCACTACTACACATAATGAAGTTGATGTTGTCTATGTGTTGTGCTGGAATGAACTAAAGTACAACTAGGTATAAACTAGTAATATAAAAATACAAATTTAAAATAGAACAAGACTCTCACTTGTTATTGCACTAAGGTCTAATATAATGACTTTTGTGGAGTCTATGTTTTGAGCTAGAATGAGCTATAGTACAACTAGATTTAATCTAATAATATAAAAATACAAATTAAAAATAGCACCAGTCTCTCACTAGTAATTGCAATATGGTCTAATATAATGAATTTGGTATTAACTATAGTACAACTGAGTTTAATCTAATAATATAAAAAAGGCACAAGACTCTCAATTGTAATTGCACTAAGGTGTTATATAAGTTGTTTACAAGAATTAGAGTATAACTAGATTTAAATTGACAGGATAAAATATACAAGTTAAGGTAGCAAAAGAATAAAAAAAGTAGAAAAAAATGGGTAGGCTCCAGGATGTACACGTTTATAGAGGGGCAACTGATATATCGGATCACTATCTAGTTGTAGCTGCAGTTAGAGTAAGAGGTAGATGGGAAAAGAGGAAGGTGGCAACAACAAGTAAGAGGGAGGTGAAAGTGTATAAACTAAGGGAGGAGGAAGTTCGGGTGAAATATAAGCAACTATTGGCAGAAAGGTGGACTAGTGCAGGTATGAGTTGTGGGGGGGCTGAAGAGGGTTGGAATAGTTTTAAAAATGCAGTATTAGAATGTGGGGCAGAAGTTTGTAGTTATAGGAGGGTGGGTGCAGGAGGAAAGAGGAGTGATTGGTGGAATGATGAAGTAAAGGGTGTGATAAAAGAGAAAAAGGTAGCTTATGAGAGGTATTTACAAAGCAGAAGTGTTATAAGAAGAGTCGAGTATATGGAGAGTAAAGGAAAGGTGAAGAGAGTGGTGAGAGAGTGCAAAAGGAGAGCGGATGATAGAGTAGGAGAGGTACTGTCAAGGAATTTTAATGAAAATAAGAAAAATTTTTGGAGTTAAACAAGTTAAGAAAGCCTAGGGAACAAATGGATTTGTCAGTTAAAAACAGAGAAGGGGAGTTAGTAGATGGGGAGATGGAGGTTTTGGGTAGATGGCGAGAATATTTTGAGGAACTTTTAAATGTCGACGAAGAAAGGAAGGCGGTAATTTCATGCACTGGCCAGGGAGGTATATCATCTTTTAGGAGTGAAGAAGAGCAGGATGTGAGTGTGGGGGAGGTGCGTGAGGCATTACGTAGAATGAAAGTGGGTGAAGCAGCTGGAACTGACGGGATCATGACAGAAATGTTAAAAGCAGGGGGGGACATAGTGTTGGAGTGGTTGATATTTTTGTTTAATAAATGTATGAAAGAGGGGAAGGTACCTAGGGATTGGCGGAGAGCGTGTATAGTCCCTTTATATGAAGGGAAGGGGGACAAAAGAGATTGTAAAAATTATAGAGGAATAAGTTTACTGAGTATACCAGGAAAAGTGTACGGTAGGATTATTATTGAAAGAATTAGAGGTAAGACAGAATGTAGAATTGCAGATAAGCAAGGAGGTTTTAGAGTGGGTAGGGATGTGTAGATCAAGTGTTTACATTGAAGCATGTATGTGAGCAGTATTTAGATAAAGGTAGGGAAGTTTTTATTGCGTTTATGGATTTAGAAAAGGCATATGATAGAGTGGATAGGGGAGCAATGTGGCAGATGTTGCAAGTATATGGAATAGGTGGTAAGTTACTAAATGCTGTAAAGAGTTTTTATGAGGATAGTGAGGCTCAGGTTAAGGTGTGTAGAAGAGAGGGAGACTACTTCCCAGTAAAAGTAGGTCTTAGACAGGGATGTGTAATGTCACCATAGTTGTTTAATATATTTATAGATGGGGTTGTAAAAGAAGTAAATGCTAGGGTGTTCAGGAGAGGGGTGGGATTAAATTATGGGGAATTAAATACGAAATGGGAAGTGACACAGTTACTTTTTGCTGATGATACTGTGCTTATGGTTGATTCCAAAGAAAAATTGCGAAGGTTAGTGGACGAATTTGGGAATGTGTGTAAAAGGTAGAAAGTTGAAAGTGAACATAAAAAGAGTAAGGTGATGAGAGTATCAAATGATTTAGATAAAGAAAAATTGGATATCAAATTGGGGAGGAGGAGTATGGAAGAAGTGAATGTTTTTAGATATTTGGGAGTTGACGTGTCAGCTGATGGATTTATGAAGGATGAGGTTAATCATAGAATTGATGAAGGAAAAAGGTGAGTGGTGCATTGAGGTATATGTGGAGGCAAAAAATGTTATCTATGGAGGCAAAGAAGGGAATGTATGAAAGTATAGTATTACCAACACTCTTATATGGGTGTGAAGCTTGGGATGTAAATGCTGCAGCAAGGAAGTGGTTGGAGGCAGTGGAGATGTCCTGTCTAAGAGCAATGTGTGGTGTAAATATTATGCAGAAAATTCGGAGTGTGGAAATTAGGAGAAGGTGTGGAGTTAATAAAAGTATTAGTCAGAGGGCTGAAGAGGGTTTGTTGAGGTGGTTTGGTCATTTAGAGAGAATGCATCAAAGTAGAATGACATGGAGAGCATATAAATATGTAGGAGAAGGAAGGCAGGGTAGAGGTCGTCCTCGAAAAGGTTGGAGGGAGGGGGTAAAGGAGGTGTTGTGGGTGAGGGGTTTGGACTTCCAGCAAGCGTGCGTGAGCGTGTTAGACAGGAGTGAATGGAGACAAATGGTATTTGGGACCTGACGATCTGTTGGAGTGTGAGCAGGGTAATATTTAGTGAAGGGATTCAGGGAAACTGGTTATTTTATATAACTGGACTTGAGTCCTGGAAATGGGAAGTACAGTGCCTGCACTCTAAAGGAGGGGTTTGGGATATTGGCAGTTTGGAGGGATATATTGTGTATTTTTATACGTATATACTTCTAAGCTGTTGTATTCTGGGTACCTCTGCAAAAACAGTGATTATGTGTGAGTGAGGTGAAAGTGTTGAATGATGAAAGTATTTTCTTTTTGGGGATTTTCTTTCTCTTTGGATCACCCTGCCTCGGTGGGAGATGGCCGACTTGTTGAAAAAAAAAAAAAATCAGGGAAACTGGTTATTTTTGTATAGCCGGACTTGAGACCTGGAAATGGGAAGTACAATGCCTACACTCTAAAGGAGGGGTTCAGGATATTAGCAGTTTGGAGGGATATGTTGTGTATCTTTATACGTATATGCTTCTAAACTGTTGTGCTCTGAGCACCTCTGCAAGAACAGTGATTATATGTGAGTGAGGTGAAAATGTTGAATGATGATGAAAGTATTTTCCTTTTGGGGATTATCTTTCTTTTTGGGTCACCCTGCCTCAGTGGGAGATGGCTGACTTGTTAAAAAAAAAAAAAAAAAATTCTTGTCACTGAAGATAATTTTTCTGACTACAGTGGTAAAAGTAAAAATAATATCACTTTTATTTCTGTTGAACAGGTTTGTGAAGTTATTGAAGTCTAAAACTACCAAGATTACCTATTACACAGATCAAGCAAAGTTTTTTCTTATGGAAAATTCACCAGATCCAGATTTTGTGGCTACATTTTATCATGGTAATGTAAACAAATTATTCATTTTCGCTTTCATCCCTGAGTTATATGATATTCCATAATACTGTATAGTTTATTTTTTTTTTAGTTAAACAATTTAAGCAGCTTTTTTGAAGTTATTTTTGCTTTATTATTGCCGGCAGTTACATTAGGGTGCCTCATTGTAAAATTACTTTAGGGTATCTCATTGTAAAATTACTTTAGGACCTTTTTTTTTTTTTTTCAACAAACCGGCCGTACCCCACCAAGGCAAGGTGGCCCAAAAAGAAAAAAGAAAGTTTCTCTTTTTAAATTTAGTAGTTTATACAGGAGAAGGGGTTACTAGGCCCTTGCTCTCGGCATTTTAGTAGCTCTTACAACACACATGGCATACGGAGGAAGAGTTCTGTTCCACTTCCCCATGGAGATGAGAGGAAATAAACAAGAACAAGAACCAGAAAGAAAATAGAAGAAAACCCACAGGGGTGTGTATATATATGCTTGTACATGTATGTGTAGTGTGACCTAAGTGTAAGTAGAAGTAGCAAGACGTACCTGAAATTTTGCATGTTTAAGAGACATACAAAAGATACCGGCAATCCTACCATCATGTAAAACAATTACAGGCTTTCGTTTTACACTCACTTGGCAGGACGGTAGAACCTCCCTGGGTGGTTGCTGTCTACCAACCTACTACCTACAACTTTAGGACCTCTCATTGTAAAATACAGTAGGGCCCCACTTTACGGCATTTCGCTTTATGGCGTTCCGCTAATATGGACATTTCAAATTATGACCAGAACTCGCTGTATGGCTCCCCTTGTCTTTCTAATACGGTCACTGTGACCCACCTGGTTTGTTTACATTCTCTGTGAGCATGACTCTCCATTGTGTTTGGAAACTTTCCAAAATTTCAAGTGTTTTAAAGTTCTAAAGTATTTTATATGGTATACATTGTACTCTGATAATCATACTTATGTGTAACTGCACCTAAATAAACTTACACACTGCTGGCACACACGAAAACATTAAAATTACTAAAACTACCTTATTAGTCTTGAAGATGCCATATTAATGATGGTAATTATAATTATTATAATTATAATGATAATTATATATTGGTGGATAAAAGGTTGATTCGTAGGCTTCAAGATGTACATGTTTATAGAGGGGCAACTGATATATCAGATCATTATTTAGCTGTAGCTACAGTTAGAGTAAGAGGTAAATGGGACAAGATGAAAATGGCAACAACAAGTAAGAGAGAGGTGAAAGTGTAAAAACTAAGGGAGGAAGAATTTCTGGTGAAATATAAGCAACTGTTTGCAGAAAGGTGGGCTGGTGCAAGTATGAGTAGTGGGAGGGTTGGAATAGTTTTAAAAATGCAGTATTAGAATGTGGAGCGGAAGTTTGTGGTTATAGGAGGGTGGGTGCAGGAGGAAAGAGGAGTGATTGGTGGAATGATGAAGTAAATGGTATGATAAAAGAGAAAAAGGTAGCTTATGAGAGGTTTTTTACAAAGCAGAAGTGTTATAAGAAGAGCAGAGTATATGGAGAGTAAAAGAAAAGTGAAGAGAGTGGCGTGAGTGTGTAAAAAGAGAGCAGATGATAGGGTGAGAGAGGCATTGTCAAGAAATTTTGATGAAAATAAGAAAAAAATTTGGCTTTGCGGCTTTGTCCTCTCATTTACTCGTTCTCTCTCACTCATTGATTTGTTATCTCGTTTACTCACCTCTCACCCAACATTAAGACTACAAATATTTTAAGGTAAGTAATGCCTGTACTGTACATATGCATTTTATCGCTCTAGGGTGCTTTAAATGCCTAGTACAGGTCTCCCTCAACATTAGTGTTTTCAACTTTTGCGGGCTTCACACATTCGCGAATTCCCAACCGCCAAATTCCCAGCCACCAAATTCCCAGCCACCAAATTCCCAGCCACCAAATTCCCAGCTGCCAAATCATATTTAAGTTTCCCGCCACCTGCGAGTCCCTACTACCCTCCCTCCAGCCCCCACAACTGGCAGCCAGCCCTCCCACCACTCAGTGTGGTGAGTGTTTTGTTTGTTCATTATTTGCTATTAAACTACAGTATAAATAATATAAACCCATTCATGACTGCATATTGGAATGGCTATTCGGACAGGTATTGGACGGTGACATCATGTGTTTACTCTTGAACACAGCAAAGAATCAAACATTTCTGCTACTGCTAATAATAACAATAGTAATAATAATAATAATAATAAATACGATAGAACTGAAGAAGGAAATTGTACAAAAATACGAGGGAGTGGTTGACACATCGTCAGTGTGGCTTTGTTTATGCTGGAGTGAGCATTAGTCTCCAGGCTCTTACAGACATTTCACAATAATTTTGGTTTGGTGCTTGTAGATTGAGTGCGACTGGAGTGGTAGAGGTAGTGGGTGAAGCAGTGGGTGAGGCAGCAGTTGAGGCAGCGGTTGAGGCAGCGGTTGAGGCAGTGGTTGAGGCAGCGGTTGACGCAATGGTAGAGGCAGCAGTTGAGGCAGTGGTATTTAATAATAACAATGGGCTAGTAACCCCTTTTCCTGTAAAGATTACTAAAAAGAATAAGAAGAAGAAAATTGTCAAAGTGGGAAGTCTGAATGTGCGTGGATGTTGTGCAAATGATAAGAAAGAGATGATTGTGGATGTTATGAATGAGAAGAAACTGGATGTCCTGGCTTTAAGTGAAACAAAGCTGAAGGGGGTGGGAGAGTTTCAATGGAGAGGAATAAATGGGATTAGGTCAGGGGTTTCAAATAGAGTTAGAGCTAAGGAAAGGGAAAGTAGCAATAATGTTGAAGGATAAGCTATGGCAGGAAAAGAGGGGACTACAAATGTATAAATTCAAGGATTATGTGGAGTAAAATGAAGATTGGATGTGAAAAGTGGGTTATAGAAACGTGTATGCACCTGGAGAAAGAGAGAAGTGTAGAGGAGAGAGAGAAAATTCTGGGAAATGTTGAGTGAATGCGTGGGGAGTTTTGAATCAAGTGTGAGAGTAATGGTGGTTGGGGATTTAAAATGCTAAAGTGGGTAAAAATGTTATGGAGGGAGTAGTAGGTAAATTTTTGGGGTGCCAGGGTTAAATGAAAAATGGGGAGCCTTAATTAAAGCTATGGGGTAAAAAAGAAATTGGTAATAAGTAATACTATTTTATGAAAAAGAGGATAAATAATATACAAGGTATGATGTAGCACGTAATGAAAGTAGTTTGTTAGATTATGTATTGGTGGATAAAAGGTTGATGGGTAGGCTCCAGGATGTACATGTTTATAGAGGGGGGCAACTGATATATGGATCATTATTTGGGTTGGTAGCTACAGTTGAGTAAGAGGTAAATGGGAAAAGAGGAAGGTGGCAACAACAAGTAAGAAGGAGGTTGAAAGTGTATAAACTAAAGGGAGGAGGAAGTTCAGGTGAGATATAAGTGACCCATTGGCAGAAAGGTGGGGGCTAGTGCAAAGATGAGAGTGGGGGCTTGAAGAGGGTTGAATTTTTAAAATGCAGCATTAGAATGTGGGGCAGAAGTTTTTTGGTCATAGGAGGGTGGGGTGCAGGAGGAAAGAGGAGTGATTGGTGGAATGATGAAGGGAAAAAGGGGGTGATAAAAGAGAAAAAGGTAGCTTACGAAAAGGTTTTTTTACAAAGCAGAAGTGTTATAAGAAGGGGCCCGAGTATATGGAGAGGGAAAAGAAAGGTGAAGAGAGTGGTGAGAGAGTGCAAAAGGGGAGCAGATGAAAGAGTGGGAGAGGCACTGTCAAGAAATTTTAATGAAAATAAGGGAAAAAAATTTTTGGGGTGGTTAAACAAGTAAGAAAGCCTAGGGAAAGTATGGATTTTTTCAGTTAAAAACAGAGTAGGGGAGTTAGTAGATGGGGAGAGGGAGGTATTAGGTAGATTTGGGGAGAATATTTTTAGGAACTTTTAAATGTTGAGGAAGAAAGGGAGGCGGTAATTCCATGCACTGGTCAGGGGGGGTACCATCTTTTAGGAGTGAAGAAAGCAGAATGTAAGTGTGGTGGAGGTATGTGAGGCATTACGTAGAATGAAAGGGGTAAAGCAGCTGGAACTGATGGGATCATGACAGAAATGTTTTAAAAGCAGGGGGGATATAGTGTTTGGAGTGGTTGGTACTTTTGTTTTAAAAAATTATGGGAAAAGAGGGGGAAGGTACCTAGGGATTGGTGGAGAGCATGTATAGTTTCCCCTTTTTATAAAGGGAAAGGGGACAAAAAAAGATTTTAAAAATTATAGAGGAATAAGTTTTACTGAGTATACCAGGAAAAAGTATACGGTAGGGTTAGAATTGAAAGAATTAGAGGGAAGACAGAATGTTTGGATTGCGGATGAGCAGGGAGGCTTCAGAGTGGGTAGGGGATGTGTAGATCAAGTGTTTACATTGAAGCATATATGTGAACAGTATTTAGATAAAGGTAGGGAAGTTTTTATTGCATTTATGGATTTAGAAAAGGCATATGATAGAGTGGATAGGGGAGCAATGTGGCAGATGTTGCAAGTATATGGAATAGGTGGTAAGTTACTAAATGCTGTAAAGAGCTTTTATGAGGATAGTGAGGCTCAGGTTAGGGCATGTAGAAGAGAGGGAGAATACTTCCCGGTAAAAGTAGGTCTTAGACAGGGATGTGTAATGTCACCATGGTTGTTTAATATATTTATAGATGGGGTTGTAAAAGAAGTAAATGCTAGGGTGTTCGGGAGAGGGGTGGGATTAAATTATGGGGAATCAAATTCAAAATGGGAATTGACACAGTTACTTTTTGCTGATGATACTGTGCTTATGGGAGATTCTAAAGAAAAATTGCAAAGGTTAGTGGATGAGTTTGGGAATGTGTGTAAAGGTAGAAAGTTGAAAGTGAACATAGAAAAGAGTAAGGTGATGAGGGTATCAAATGATTTAGATAAAGAAAAATTGGATATCAAATTGGGGAGGAGTATGGAAGAAGTGAATGTTTTCAGATACTTGGGAGTTGACGTGTCGGCGGATGGATTTATGAAGGATGAGGTTAATCATAGAATTGATGAGGGAAAAGAGGTGAGTGGTGCGGTGAGGTATATGTGGAGTCAAAAAATGTTATCTATGGAGGCAAAGAAGGGAATGTATGAAAGTATAGTAGTACCAACACTCTTATATGGATGTGAAGCTTGGGTGGTAAATGCAGCAGCGAGGAGACGGTTGGAGGCAGTGAAGATGTCCTGTCTAAGGGCAATGTGTGGTGTAAATATAATGCAGAAAATTCGGAGTGTGGAAATTAGGAGGTGTGGAGTTAATAAAAGCATTAGTCAGAGGGCAGAAGAGGGGTTGTTGAGGTGGTTTGGTCATTTAGAGAGAATGGATCAAAGTAGAATGACATGGAAAGCATATAAATCTGTAGGGGAAGGAAAGAGGGGTAGGGGTCATCCTCGAAAGGGTTGGAAAGAGGGGGTAAAGGAGGTTTTGTGGGCGAGGGGCTTGGACTTCCAGCAAGCGTGCATGAGAGTGTTAGATAGGAGTGAATGGAGACGAATGATACTTGGGACCTGACGATCTGTTGGAGTGTGAGCAGGGTAATATTTAGTGAAGGGATTCAGGGAAACCGGTTATTTTCATATAGTCGGACTTGAGTCCTGGAAATGGGAAGTACAATGCCTGCACTTCAAAGGAGGGGTTTGGGATATTGGCAGTTTGGAGGGATATGTTGTGTATCTTTATACGTATATGCTTCTGAGCTGTTGTGTTCTGAGCACCTCTGCAAAAGCAGTGATGGTGTGTGAGTGTGGTGAAAGTGTTGAATGATGATGAAAGTATTTTCTTTTTGGGGATTTTCTTTCTTTTTTGGGTTACCCTGCCTCGGTGGGAGACGACCGACTTGTTGAAAAAAAAAAAAAAATTGTTATAAATAATAATACTGTAGTACATGTTATTAATAACATGTATTATTATTATTATTAATAACATGTATGTTATTAAATACCACTGCCTCTACCACTGCCTCACCCACTGCCTCAACCGCTTCCTCAACCACTGCCTCTACCACTCCAGTCACACTCAATCTACAAGCACCAAACACAATGAATTATTGTGAAATGTTTGGAAGAGCCTGGAGACTAATGCTCACTCAAGCATAAACAAAGCCACACTGAGGCTGCGTCAACCACTCCCTCGTATTTTTGTACAATTTCCTTCTTCAATTCTATCGTATTTATTATTATTATTATTATTATTATTATTATTATTATTATTGTTATTGTTATTATTAGCAGTAGCAGAAATGTTTGATTCATTGCTGTGTTCAAGAGTAAACACATGATGTCACCGTTCAATACCTGTCCAAATAGCCATTGCAATATGCAGTCATGAATGGGTTTACATTATTTATACTGTAGTTTAATAACAAATAATGAACAAACAAAACACTCACCACACTGAGTGGTGGGAGGGCTGGCTGCCAATTGTGGGGGTCGGAGGAAGGGTAGTAGGGACTCGCAGTGGTGGAGGCAGTGGTATTTAATAACATGTTATTAAAGCATAACATGTATGTATTTAGTACAATTTACGACGTTTTCATGTATTTTATGATTGTTCATGGTTCAACAAGTTAAGGAAGCGGTATTGTATTATATTTCCCTACAATATATTGGGGCACCAAACATTCACGATTTTTCAACATTCGCGAGGCTCTTGATCCCCTAACCCTCGCGAATGTTGAGGGAGACCTGTATATTATGTGCAGGTGGGTTGGCCAGATGGGCTACCATACCTACCACACCTGACATTCTGCAGATAAATACTACATGTTTTCATCTTGAACTCAATATTAAGACCATTAAGACTACAAATATTTTAAGGTAAGTAATGGGTGTACACTATATGCATTTTAACACTCTAGGCCACTTTAAATGTTGTAGTATATTATGTGTGGGTGAGTTGGCCAGGTGGGCTACCATACCTCCCACACCTGACTTCTAACAATAAACACTACTCACTTCTCACCCTATATTAAGACTACAAATATTTTGAGGTAAGTAATGAATGGACTGTGTGTGTATCTTACTTTTTATTGTTTTTTAATGCCTAGTTCTGTTGCTAACTTTATATATGTTAGTGTAAACTTATTATCTGACGTATATAAGTGGAAACAAATGGCATTCTGCTTTTTGGCGGTAGCTTGAAACTTAACCTGCCATATAAGTGGGGCCCGACTGTACTTTAAGATCTCTCATTGTAAATTGGAAGTATTGAACACAAATTTTCCTCCATGTTAACAAGTGAAAAATGCTACAGTACATTTATTTAATGCACAGGAAATAAGCTATGACCAATTACACTCTGGCTACTAAAGAGTTCATACAATTCAGAAACCCACAACATTCAGATTAGTTTACATATTATTTAGCTAATTTGAAGTCATAATTTAATATCTTTTTTGCTTGTCAGGAGCCAATAACATTTTTCTTGTCAGGAACCAATAACTTTTTTTTCTTGTCAGGAACCAAGCTAACAAAGAGTGGAAACAATTTGGTCATCAAATGTCCTACTGGGGCCTCTCATTCAGTATCACTGACCCCTGAACATAAACTGTTGCCTGATAATCTGGAGCCACTCTATCTACATTTTAAACAGGTAACGTATTACTGTATAATATTCTGGCTTAGTAAAGAGTGCTTCCTTTATGTATTTCATTTGAAATTTCTTCTTAATTTGTGTGAATATAATTTTTTTTTTCAACATGTTGGCTGCTTTCCACTGAGGCAGGGTGACCCAAAAAGAAAGAAAAAACTTTCATCATTCAACACTTTCACCATCACTCATACGTAATCACTGTCTTTGCAGAGGTGCTCGGATATGACAGTTTAGACATCCCTCCAAATTGCCAATATCCTAAACCTCTCCTTTAAAGTGCAGGCATTGTACTTCCCATTTCCAGGACTCAAGTCCGGCTAACCGGTTTCCCTGAATCCCTTCACAAAATATTACCCTTCTCACACTTCAACAGCTCGTCAGTCCCAAAAACTATTTGTCTCCATTCACTCCTATCTAACACACTCACACATGCTTGCTGGAAGTCCAAGCCCCTTGCCCACAAAACCTCCTTAACCCCCTCCCTCCAACCTTTGTGGGGATGATCCCTACCCTACCTTCCTTCCCCAATAGAGTTATACGTTCTCCAAGTCATTCTACTTTGTTCCATTCTCTCTAAATGACCAAACCACGTCAACAGCCCCTCTTGAGCTCTCTGACTAATACTTTTAGTAACTCCACACCACCTCCTAATTTCCACACTTCAAATTCTCTGCATAACATTTACATTACACATTGCCCTTACACACGACATCCCTACTGCCTCCAGCCTCTATGCTGCAGCATTTACAACCCATGCTTCACACTCATATAAAAGTATTGGAACCACTATACTCTAGTACATTCCTTTCTTTGCCTCCATGGATGTCGTTCTGTCTCTACAGATACCTCAACACGCCACTCACCTTTTTTCCTTCATCAATTATATGTTTAACCTCGTCCTTCATAAACACATCCGCAGACAAGTCAACTCCCAAATATCTGAAAACATTCACTTCTTCCATACTCCCTCCCTCCAATGTGATATCCAATTTTCCTTTATCTAAATTGTTTGATACCCTCATCACCTTACTCTTATCTATATTCACTTTCAACTTTCTACCTTTACACACCCTCCCAAACTCATCCACTAGCCTTTGCAACTTTGCCATTGCCCAGTGGTGAGAGAAGTGACTCTCATTGCTGAAGTCCTGGGAATAAACCCTGGACTTTAATATAAAAAAAATTAAATTAAGTTGGTAGTAGGTTGGTAGACAGCAACTGCCCAGGGAGGTACTACTGTTGTGCCAAGTGAGTGTAAAACGGAAGCCTGTACAGTGGACCCCCGGTATACGATATTAATCCGTTCCTGAGAGCTCATCGTATGCCAAAATTATCGGAAGGCGAATTAATTTTCCCCATAAGAAATAATGGAAATCAAATAAATCCGTGCAAGACACCCAAAAGTACTATGAAAAAAAAAGTTTTACCAAATGAAATATTAAGTTTAATGCACACAAACTGAAGAAGACATGCACAGGTAGTAGTACTCTACTAACAATAGAATACATGACACTTACCTTTAATGAAGATCTGGTGATGATTGATGGGATGGGAGGAGGGGAGAGTGTCGAAGTTGTTAATGTTTAGAAGGGGAATCCCCTTCCATTAGGACTTGAGGTAGCAAGTCCTTTTCCGGGGTTACTTCCCTTCTTCTTTTAATGCCACTAGGACCAGTTTGAGAGTCACTGGACCTCTGTCACACAACAAATCTGTCCATAGAGGTCTGTACCTCCCATGCCTTTAAGATTTGTCTAAAATGGGCCACAACATTGTCATTGTAATAGTCACCAGCACGGCTTGCAATAGCTGTGTTAGGGTGATTTTCATCCATAAAGGTTTGCAGTTCAACCCACTTTGCACACATTTCCTTAATTTTTGAAGTAGGCACAATGGATTCCACAACTGGCATAGGCTTCTCAGGGTTAGCCCCAAACCCTTCAAAATCTTTCTTAATTTCCATGCTAATTCTCACCCTTTTTACCACAGGGTTGGCACTAGAAGCTTTCTTGGGGCCCATGGTGGCTTATTTTGCAGAAACAAGCACCAAAAACATTGTGATAATATGGAATGTACCGAATGTATGCTTAGATGCGAGCACACTGGCTGGCTTGTAAACACTGGCACGCACGGGGCAGTTCAGGCCACACGACGCGTCCCGGGCGAATCGCGTTAAAATGTATTGTATACCGGATTTAACGTATACAGATGCCATCGTATGCCGGGGGTCCACTGTATTTGTTTTATATGATGGTAGCATTGCTGGTGTCTTTTTTCTGTCTCATAAGCATGCAAGATTTCAGGTACATCTTGCTACTTCTACTTTCACTTAGGTCACACAATAAATGCATGTACAGGTCTCCCTCAACATTCGCGTTTTCAACTTTCGCGGGCTTCACACATTCGCGAATTCCCAACCGCCAAATTCCCAGCTGCCAAATCATATTTAAGTTTACCGCCACGAGTCCCTACTACCCTCCCTCCAACCCCTGCAACTGGCAGCCAGCCCTCCCACCACTGTGTGGTGAGTGTTTTGTTTGTTCATTATTTGCTATTAAACTACAGAATAAATAATGTAAACCCATCCATGACTGCATATTGGAATGGCTATTCGGACAGGTATTGGAATGTGACATCATGTGTTTACTCTTGAACACAGCAAAGAATCAAACATTTCTGCTACTGCTAATAATAATAATATTAATATAATAATATAATAATAATAATAATAATAATAATAAAAATAATACGATAGAATTGAAGAAGGAAATTGTACAAAAATACGAGGGCTGAAGCAGTGGTGGAGGAAGTGGTTGACGCAGCGTCAGTGTGGCTTTGTTTATGCTGGAGTGAGTATTAGTCTCCCTGCTCTTCCAAACATTTCACAATAATTCATTGTATTTGTCACTTGTATATTGTGTGTGACTGGAGTGGTTGAGGCAGTGGTAGAGGCAGTGGTAAAGGCAGTGGGTGAGGCAGTGGGTGAGGCAGTGGTAGAGGCAGTGGTAGAGGCAGTAGTAAAGGCAGTGGGTGAGGCAGTGGGTGAGGCAGTGGTAGAGGCAGTGGTAGAGGCAGTGGGTGAGGCAGCAGTTGAGGCAGTGGTTGAGGCAGTGGTAGAGGCAGTGGGTGAGACAGTGGTAGAGGCAGTGATAGAGGCAGTGGGTGAGACAATGGTAGAGGCAGTGATAGAGGCAGTGATATTTACTAACATATATGTTACAAATAACAATAGTACATTATGAATAACATTTATTATTATTATAAATGTTATTAATATTAACATGTACTATTATTATTTATAACATATATGTTAGTAAATACCACTGCCTCACCCACTGCCTCTATCACTGCCTCTACCACTGCCTCACCCACTGCCTCACCCACTGCCTCACCCACTGCCTCACCCACTGCCTCACCCACTGCCTCACCCACTGCCTCACCCACTGCCTCACCCACTGCCTCTGTCACTGCCTCTATCACTGCCTCTATCACTGCCTCTACCACTGCCTCTACCACTGCCTCACCCACTGCCTCACCCACTGCCTCTACCACTGCCTCAACCACTCCAGTCACACACAATCTACAAGTGCCAAATACAATGAATTATTGTGAAATGTTTGGAAGAGCAGGGAGACTAATACTCACTCCAGCATAAACAAAGCCACACTGACGCTGCGTCAACCACTTCCTCCACCACTGCTTCAGCCCTCGTATTTTTGTACAATTTCCTTCTTCAATTCTATCGTATTTATTATTATTATTATTATTAATATTATTATTATTATTATTTTTATTATATTATTATTATTATTATTATTATATTATTATTATTATTATTATTATTATTATTAGCAGTAGCACAAATGTTTGATTCTTTGCTGTGTTCAAGAGTAAACACATGATGTCACCTTCCAATACCTGTCCGTATAGCCATTCCAATATGCAGTCATAAATGGGTTGACATTATTTATACTGTAGTTTAATAGCAAATAATGAACAAACAAAACACTCACCACACAGTGGTGGGAGGGCTGGCTGACAGTCGGAGGGAGGGTAGTAGGGACTTGCAGTGGTGGAGGCAGTGGTATTTAATAACATACATGTTGTTAAGGCATAACGTATGTATTTAGTACAATTTACGACGCTTTCATGTATTTTATGATTGTTCATGGTTCAACAAGTTAAGGAAGCAGTATTGTATTATATTTCCCTACAATATATTGGGGCACCAAACATTCACGATTTTTCAGCATTTGCGACGCTCTTGATCCCCTAACCCTCGTGAATGTTGAGGGAGACCTGTACAGTGGAACCCCAGATTTTGTCTGGTGCAGATGTTGTTCAATTTGGATTTCGACTACTTTTTTGGGCAAAATTTTACCCTGAGTTTTGTACCTTCGCTTGGAAATCACCCGTATCAGACACGTCCGCCTGCTTGGGATGCAGCCGCTCACACATATGTGACTCCATCTGCCTCTGTCACTTGTTCAGTGACCAATACGCTACATTTTCATCTGAAACATTGGTGGTAGAGGGTGGTAGTGACAGTGGTAGAGGGTGGTAGTGGTTGTGATGGTGGTAGAGGGTGGTAGTGATGGTGGTAGAGGGTGGTTGTGGTTGTGATGGTGGTAGAGGGTGGTAGTGATGGTGGTAGAGAGGGTGGTAGTGATGGTGGTAGAGGGTGGTAGTGATGGTGGTAGAGCATGGCAGTGATAGTGGTAGAGGTTGTAGTGATGGCGGTAGAGGGTGGTAGTGATGGTGGTAGTGGGTGGTACTGATGGCAATCGAAGATGTTGGGAAGTTGTTGTTGGTGTGGATCAACAAAAAACAGTTAGCAGGAGATAGTGTAGTGGAGGCGATAACTTGCAAAAAGGCAAGACAGTTTCATGCAGATCTTGTAAAGAATATGCCAATAAAAGTCTTCAATAAAGGTAAAAGTGATTTAAATGTTAATTTATCTATTAAAATTGGTGCTTTATATTAATTTCTCATTGTTTTCTGTAGGCAAAACTACAGTGCACCCTCAGTTAACACTTGCATCGGCTAACGTAAAAATCAGATAACGCTTCGCTTTAGCGTTAAAAAAATTGGCTTGGATAACACCTAAAAACTCGGTTAGGAACTTTCGTCCCGAACGTGTCCGCACGGTGCCCTGAGTGGGCCCAGCCACTCACCCCATGTACCAGCCAGTGTGCCATTGTTTACAAGCCACTGAGGACGAATCCATGCGTACATGCGATATATTTTGTATTCCAGTACGTATTTTTAGTGCTTGTAACTGCTAAATAAGCCACCATGGGCCCAAAGAAAGCTTCTAGTGCCAACCCTGTGGTAAAAAGGGTAAGGTGTACTATCGAATTCAAAAAGGAGATGATAGAAAAGTATGAGAGTGAAGTGTGTATCTTGGAGTTGGTAAAGTTATCCAACAAACCCCGTTCAACCATCACTACTATCTTGTGCAACAAAAAGGCAATCAAGGAAGCTGTTGTTGCAAAAGGTGCAAGTGTGCTTACAAAACAGAGATGGCAAATACTCAAAGATGTGGAGAGATGTTGTTGGTGTGGATAAATGAGAAACAATTATCAGGAGATAGTATTTCTCAGTCAGTAATAAGTGAAAAGGCAAGGCAGTTGTATGAGGATCTCATTAAGAAAATGCGTCCAAATAGTGCTGCTGTTGATGAATTTAAGGCCAGCAAAGGCTGGTTGGAGAGATTTAAGAATCGTATTGGCATACACAGTGTGATAAGGCATGGTGAGGCTGCCAGTTGTGACAAAAAAGCGGCTGAAAAATATGTGCAGGACTTTAAGGAGTACATAGACACTGAAAAATTAAAACTCCAACAAGTGTTTAATTGTGGCAAAACAGGCCTGGTTTGGAAGAAAATGCCAAACAGGACCTACAATACTCAGGAGGAAAAGGCACTCCCAGGACACAAGCCTATGAAAGACAGGCTAACTCTAATGTTGTGTAGTAATGCTAGTGAGGATTGCAAAGTGAAGCCTTTACTCGTGTATCACTCTGAAACTCCTAGAGTGTTCAAGAAAAACAATATAGTCAAGACTAAATTGTGTGTGATGTGGAGAGCAAACAGTAATGGCATGGGTCACTAGAGACATGTTTATTGACTGGTTCTATGACGTGTTTGGCCCCACTGTGATACAGTACCTCCTGGAAAATAAATTGGAACTCAGGTGCCTCATGGTAATGGACAATGCTCCTGCTCATCCTCACGACTTGCAAGAGCAAATTGCGGGGGAGTTGAGCTTCGTCAAAATGAAGTTTTTGCCTCCTAATACCACTCCTCTCCTCCAGCCCATGGACCAGCAGGTCATTTCAAATTTCAAAAAACTGTACACCAAAGCAGTGTTTCAGAAGTGCTTTGAAGTAACCTCAGACACTGAATTGACCCTAAGAGAGTTCTGGAAAGATCACTTCAGTATCCTCCATTGCATAAACCTTATAGGTAAGGCTTGGGAGGGAGTGACTTGCAAGACTTTGAACTCTGCTTGGAGAAAATTGTGGCCAGAATGTGTACAAGAGAGGGATTTTGAAGGGTTTCGGGCTGACCCTAAGGAGCCTATGCCAGTTGTGGAATGTATTGTGGCATTGGGGAAATCCATGGAGTAGGAGGCTAGTGGCGAGGATGTGGAAGCATTGGTGCAGGACAACAATGAAGAGCTAACCATTACAGAGCTGCAAGAGCTTCAGGTGCAACAGCAACAGACCAAAGCTCAGGGATTTCCTTCGGAGGAGGAGGAAGAGAGACAGAGGAAGTTGCCTTTGTCAAAGATTACGGAAATGTGTACAATATTTACAGAGTTGCAAGCATTTATGGAGGAATATTATCCTGACACAACTGTTGCAAGCTGTGTTGGCAACTTGTACAGTGACACTCTTGGGGCCCATTTTAGGGAAATCTTAAAGGGACGCGAGAAATAGAGCTCTCTGGACAGATATTTTGCGCGACAGGGGTCCAGTGACACTCAAGCTGGTCCTAGTGGCATTAAGAAACAAAGAAGGGAGGTAACCCCAGAAAAGGACTTGTTACCTGAAGTCTTCATGGAAGGGGATTCCCCTTCCAAACACTAAAACACCTGCATCCTCTGCCCTCCTACTGCCTCATCACTCATCAACAAGTCCACAATAAGGGTAAGTGTGATGTTATTATTGTTTTATTGTGCATGTATCATTGTTTTCTATGTAGGGAAATGTATATTTCATGTAAAAAAAATTATTTTGTTTAATGCTTTTCAGTGTCTGGAACGGATTAATTGGATTTCCATTATTTGTAATGGGGAAAATTAATTTGGGTAAAGGCTATATTGGTTAAAGGCTAGCTCTCTGGAACGGATTAAAGGCATTAACTGAGGGTCCACTGTATACTTATTCTCTATAAAATGTATTTTTTTGTTAATATTTTTGGGCATCTGGAATGGATTAATTTGATTTACATTATTTCTTATGGGAAACATTACTTTGGTTTACATCCATTTCGGATTTCGACTGACCTCCTGGAACGGATTAAGGATGAAAATCGGGCTTCCACTGTACACATTTATGTATACATACTCATCTGAGTTTTCTTTGATTTTATCTTAATAGTTCTTGTTCTTATTACTTTTCCTTTCACATCCATGGGGAAGTGGAATAAGAATCTTTCCTCAGTAAGCCATGCGTGATGTAAAAGTCAATTAAAATGCCAGGAGCAATGGGCTAGTAACTCCTTTTCCCGTATAGCCTACTAAAAAGAAAAAGGAGAAAACTGTCCAACAACATGTCAAATCATAAAAACCACTTGCCTCCACTCACTCCTATCTAACATGCTTACACAATCCTGTTGGATGTGCAACAGGCAGGGTGACCCAAAAAAGAAATACTTTAGTAAAGTTTTTTATTTTTACACTTAGTAATTTATACAGGAGAAGGGGTTACTAGCTTTTTGCTTCCAGTATTTTAGTTGCTTCTTACAACACACATGGCTTATGAAGTAAGGATTCTTCTCCACTTCCCCATTTTTATTTTTATTATCACACTGGCCGATTCCCACCAAGGCAGGGTGGCCCGAAAAAGAAAAACTTTCACCATCATTCACTCCATCACTGTCTTGCCAGAAGGGTGCTTTACACTACAGTTTTTAAACTGCAACATTAACACCCCTCCTTCAGAGTGCAGGCACTGTACTTCCCATCTCCAGGACTCAAGTCCGGCCTGCCGGTTTCCCTGAATCCCTTCATAAATGTTACTTTGCTCACACTCCAACAGCACGTCAAGTATTAAAAACCATTTGTCTCCATTCACTCTTATCAAACACGCTCATGCATGCCTGCTGGAAGTCCAAGCCCCTCGCACACAAAACCTCCTTTACCCCCTCCCTCCAACCTTTCCTAGGCCGACCCCTACCCCGCCTTCCTTCCACTACAGACTGATACACTCTTGAAGTCATTCTGTTTCGCTCCATTCTCTCTACATGTCCGAACCACCTCAACAACCCTTCCTCAGCCCTCTGGACAACAGTTTTGGTAATCCCGCACCTCCTCCTAACTTCCAAACTACGAATTAATTTTCTTGTACTCTTTGTTGAAGCACATCCATTTTCATGCTTCTGCTTCTTCTCAATTTTGTTTTCAGGTGCATGATCACTGCCTGTACCTGGAGCGAGTTTTATCCGAGGTGAAAGATAAGACAAAAATGGATTGTTTTCCTGTAATTTTGGGCAGAAAGCCAGTGTCTACATCTTCACCGTCAGAGTCTACGTGTGGTAAACTTCATCCCACATCAGATAAAGAAAATTTCTCACCCACATCCATACAGTCCTATAGATCTCCAAGAAATATTTTAACACAGGTATGTGGAATAAATTCATTTAGAATGAAGTTACCAATCACAATGTGATTAAATGATTGAAAATGTTTGAGAATTTTCTTAAGAATTATTTTTTTAATTGTGTTTGATAGTTTGGCATTTATGTTACTATTAAGAATATGGAATTGTGTAAGAGTAGGGTTGGGTAATTTCTCCAGAATTGTACTCTTTTATACATATTCATCATACCTTTACTTAGAGCTCTATATGGAGCCTGTCTCCACTTCTCATCGAGATCATTGCACTTCATGACCACTCTGAGACTTAACCAGCAGGTGCTGATACTGTGTCCAACATGCTAGTACACACCATTTTTCATACCCACAAGTCAAACAGTGTGAATAATTTCCATGTTTTGATTTGTATTACACTCAAATAATTGTAATATTAGAAGTATTCATTATACATAGCCTTAGAAGACCAAAATAGTGAAAAAATATATAAAATAACAGTTATGAAGTATATACAGCCTCTCTCTAGCAACATACTCATTTACCAATGACTTGGACTTATGATGGGCTCTCTGACCAGTATGCATACCTAAATAATGAATATTAGAGCTGATTTTCTCTATTCTGTTTATTACAATATACAGTACATTGCTGTATAACATTAAAAAATATACCAGAAATGTTATAAATACTGCAAAGGTGACATTAAAACATTATCAAAGATGGTTGACACAAACCCACTACCATTATAGTATGCTCCTCACTTAGCGGCAAATTTGTTTACCAACGTTGTCTTAAGAATGGACCTCCGTCGTTAAGTGAGGAGAGGCTGTATATATATACCATATGTATGACCCAGTAAGTCAGTCAGTGTAACATATTTCTATGTTTTTTGAGGAGTATCACTCTGAAACAGTTGTAATGTTTTAGACCAAAATAGTAATGTTAGAAGACCAGAATAGAAAAAACAGAATAAAAACCAGTCGTACTATATCTTGCTTTCAACACATCGGCCGTATCCCACTGAGGCGGGGTGGCCCAAAAGGAAAAACGAAAGTTTCTCCTTTTACATTTAGTAATATATACAGGAGAAGGGGTTACTAGCCCCTTGCTCCTGGCATTTTAGTCATCTCTTACAACACGCATGGCTTACGGAGGAAGAATTCTGTTCCACTTTTCCATGGAGGTAAGAGAAAATAAACAAGGACAAGAACTAGAAAGAAAACCCAGAGGGGTGTGTGTATATATATGCTTATACATGTATGTGTAATGTGACCTAAGTGTAAGTAGAAGTAGCAAGACGTACCTGAAATCTTGCATGTTTATGAGACAGAAAAATGGACACCAGCAATCCTACCATCAAGTAAAACAATTACAGGCTTTCGTTTTACACTCACTTGGCAGGACGGTAGTACCTCCCTGGGTGGTTGCTGTCTACCAACCTACTACTATAAGTCATACCATATATCCTGATTATATACTGATTCTTCTTTCTTTCAACACACCGGCCGTATCCCACCGAGGCGGGGTGGCCAAAAGGAAAAACGAAAGTTTCTCCTTTACATTCTTCTTTAACACACCAGCCGTATCCCACCGAGGCGGGGTGGCCCAAAAGGAAAAACAAAAGTTTCTCCTTTCACATTTAGTAATATATACAGGAGAAGGGGTTACTAGCCCCTTGCTCCTGGCATTTTAGTCGCCTCTTACAACACGCATAGCTTAGGGAGGAAGAATTCTGTTCCACTTCCCCATGGAGATAAGAGGAAATAAACAAGAACAAGAACTAGTAAGAAAATAGAAGAAAACCCAGAGTGGCGTGTATATATATGCTTGTACATGTATGTGCAGTGTGACCTAAGTGTAAGTAGAAGTAGCAAGACGTACCCGAAACCTTGCATGTTTATGAGACAGAAAAAACACCAGCAATCCTACCATCATGTAAAACAATTACAGGCTTTTGTTTTACACTCACTTGGCAGGACGGTAGTACCTCCATGGGTGGTTGCTGTCTACCAACTTACTACTACAAGTCATACCATATATCCTGATTATATACTGATTATATACTTATTATTCTGCGCCATTTGCGGGCGCAGAAAAAATTTTCCCAGCTCAAGCTGCCGCCTTGTTATGGGTCAGCGGGGGTGACCTCCCGCCATCCCCTGACTGCTACCACCACCATCCCAGCCTTCATGGATATGTGTTCAGTTCCATTCTGTCAAGGAGCTAGCTGTGTTTGAGGTTGTTCTTCAATTCTATATATCCTTGGTTAGGTCTCATTTAGACTATGCTGCTCAGTTCTGGTCACTGTATTACAGAATGGATATACATAAATGCTCTGGAAAACGTACAGAGGAGGATGACAAAGATGATCCCATGTATCAGAAATCTTCCCTATGAGGATAGACTGAGGGCCCTGAATCTGCACTCTCTCGAAAGGCATAGAATTAGGGGGGATATGATCGAAGTGTATAAATGGAAAACAGGAATAAATAAAGGGGATGTAAATAGTGTGCTGAAAATTTCCAGCCAAGACAGGACTCACAGCAATGGTTTCAAGTTGGAAAAATTCAGATTCAGGAAGGATATAGGAAAGCACTGGTTTGGTAATAGAGTTGTGGATGAGTGGAACAAGCTCCTGAGTACAGTTATTGAGGCTAAAACGTTGTGTAGTTTTAAAAATAGGTTAAATAAATACATGAGTTGGTGTGGGTGGGTGTGAGTTGGACCTGACCAGCTTGTGCTGCTGGGTCTGGTACAGTGCTCCATCCTTGAGTGGGGATGACCAGACTGGGTTGGTCATTGGTCTAATCCCGGGGGGGGGGGGACATGGACCTGTTCCGCGTGGGTCAGTAGGCCTGTTGCAGTGTTCCTTCTTTCTTATGTTCTTATATTTTTTGTGTGAATAAAAATTACAAATTATTTATATAATAATAATGATGATGATAATAATAATAATAATAATGAAAGAAATCTAAGCATAAATAATGGAGTTCACTTCTCAGCAATTAGCCACTCCTTAGCGGTAATTTCAAATGGTTTTTATGGTTGTATTCTCATTTTTTTGGTCTCATTTGATAGAATGGAAGATATATTACAGAAATAGATGTGATTTTGATTGCTTTCATGATGAAAAGTGCCTTGAAATTGAGCTCAACCTAGGAGAAATGGTCCATTGCTTGGCTGTTTCAGAGTAAACAAATGACGTCACTGTCCATTCCAATATGCAGTCGTGAATGGGTTGACATATTTATACAATTATTGCAGTAAGGAATAACAGTAAATCTTATATTTTTTGTGTGAATAAAAATTACAAATAATTTATATAATAATAATAATAATATGTATAATAATAATGTTAATAACGATACATATAATAATAATAATAGTATAATACAATAATAATAATAATAATAATAATATAATATGTATAATAATAATACATATATAATAATAATGTATGACATATAATAATTATAATAATAGATGGCTTCAAAAGGCCGTCACTAGATGGCAGCGTTTACCACAACAAAGAGGAAGCAGTTGTGGCCGCCTCCACCTGTTACATGATGACATATTTTATTCATTCTAGAGTATATATCGTGTTTCTATGTTATTTATATTGTCTGTTATCTCATATTAGATGAACTGTGATATATAAATAAACCATAAAGATGATATTAGCGAAATTATTCATGAAGTATTTTGCCCGGTCTCCAGACAAACTCTCGTCCACCGCCGACACCGCCCATACCACTACATGAATGACATATTTTATTCATTTTAGAGTATATATCAGGTTTCTATGTTATTTATATTGTTTATTATGTCATATTAGATGAAGTGAGATAGATAAATAAGCCGTAGAGTTGATATTAGCAAAATTATTGAAGTACAGAATTCCACTGGAACGGATTAATTGCATTTCAATTAATTTAAATGAGGAAAATTGATTCTGCAAACGAGCAAATCCAGTTGCGAGCAAGGTCATGGAACGGATTAAACTCGCAAGTAGAGGTTTCACTGTATATACACACCCCTCTGGGTTTTCTTCTATTTTCTTTCTAGCTCTTGTTCTTGTTTATTTCCTCTTACCTCCATGGGGAAGTGGAACAGAATTCTTCCTCCGTAAGCCATGCGTGTTGTAAGAGGTGACTAAAATGCCGGGAGCAAGGGGCTAGTAACCACTTCTCCTGTATATATTACTGAATGTAAATCTAAATCTAAAGGAGGGATTTGGGATATTGGCAGTTTGGAGGGATATATTGTGTATTTTTATATGTATATACTTCTAAACTGTTGTATTCTGGGCACCTCTGCAAAAACAGTGATTATGTGTGAGTGAAGTGAAAGTGTTGAATGATGATGAAAGTACAGTGGACCCCCGGTTTACGATTAGCTCCCAATGCGATCAATTATGTAAGTGTATTTATGTAAGTGCGTTTGTATGTGTATGTTTGGGGGTCTGAAATGGACTAATCTAATTCAAAATAATCTAATTCACAATATTCTAATTCACAATATTCCCAATAATAGCACCTGTACATACTTCTGGAATGAAATAATATCGTAAACCGGGGGTCCACTGTATTTTCTTTTTGGGGATTTTCTTTCTTTTTGGGTCACCCTGCCTCGGTGGGAGACGGCCGACTTGTTGAAAAAAAAAAAGGAGAAATTTTTGTTTTTCCTTTTGGGCCACCCCGCCTCGGTGGGGTATGGCCAGTGTGTTGAAAAAAAGAAAGATCTTGTATATAGGTACAGTGGACCCCCGGTTAACAATATTTTTTCACTCCACTCCAGAAGTATGTTCAGGTGCCAGTACTGACCGAATTTGTTCCCATAAGGAATATTGTGAAGTAGATTAGTCCATTTCAGACCCCCAAACATACACGTACAAACGCACTTACATAAATACACTTACATAATTGGTCGCATTGGGAGGTGATCATTAAGTGGGGGTCCACTGTATATAGGTAGTAGGTTGGTAAACAGCAACCACCCAGGGAGGTACTACTGTCCTGCCAAGTGAGT